CGTTTAATTATTTGTGTCGTCTAAGTTCGTCAGATTCGGGTATGGGCCTTAGATTTCTATATAATGTGCAACTACTCTCATCAGTCTCGGTCCATCTGTTGTGAGTAATCATCTCACGGCCCTAGAATCCAAGTTGGGTTCTTTTTCTCTCAAGTAGTCTGCATAGATGTCCAGGTAAACCAGCATAATCCCAGACGGTTCAGTCAAGTTCTTCATAAGCTGATGACCTGCGACCGATAAAATTGACATTATTTTTCCCCTCTCTTGTCATTTCAAAGTTCTTCCCTGAGATGTCTTCTCCAGCGTGTCAAGTTTTTTGTGCAATTCTGTGTTTTCCAGATCAGACCTCACCCATTGTTCAAATTCTTTCGTGGCCAACTTTTGCTGAACATTCTGTAATGCAGTCCGAGCCACTAGGCCATAATCTACTTGGACCGCATTAACTGACTCGGCCTCCAGTCTCGATGCAATCGCGTCATCAGGCAAGGTCTTCCTTTTTTTAGTCGTGAATGTGCCTTGTGTCACTTCTTTCTTCCGCGACTCAGCTTCGTTCATTAGGCGTTCTCGACTAGTCTTGACTCCTAAAAGCAACTCTTCATGGCGGCGATGCTTTGCGTCCACCACTGCATCCCAGAACTGAGTGCAGTCTGATTTGAATTGTCCTTCCAGATTGTAAAAGAAGCAACTCGACCCAAACTTTGTTATGAACCATCTCACGTATTCTTTATGATCCTCGCCGGTTGCGACAATAACGTCAAGAAAGTAACCAATCGCTTTCATGTTTTGTTTTCAAGTAGAACAGGCTGAACCTTGACGGTCTAGCGAACCATATTTAGCTCATGACTTCCTTTTGTCCAAGTCGTCACGCGGTTTGTACCAACCAGAACTTGTGCCGGTGTTTATTCCGGTGTAGTTGCCGTAGTTGTTGTAGCGGTTTTGAGCCCTTAACTTTATGAGCTGAAACTCATGCGCATCATTCGGTGTCGGCACGAAGTCCGCTGACACGGTTAAGTGTGTGGCCAGCATGGTTTTCAGTTAATCCTTCTTTACTCCATCCATGAACTTCGAGGCTCTGGCCAAATTCCGTTCCGAGATCTTCTCGTCGAAATTACTTCTCCTTCTGAGCATTTGCAGGACATCCGAAAACTTGTCGATGGACTCATCATCTCTTTGACCCCTCTTTTCAAACTTCACCATGGCCTGATGCCTCTGTACACCTGAGCCGAAACGATTCAGCAAGCTGTCGAAGGTTTTGCGAGCAGTGTCTCGTTCATTTATTGTTTTCGACATCACAAAGCTCAAGGCCGCGCCCTCTAAGATTTTCTTCAGTGAGCTATATTCCTGTTTCTTGGAGAGAACCTCTTCCTCAAAATGCAACTTCAACACCTCTAACCAGGTATCAATACAGTCATCAGACTCGTGCTTTTACGACTTCGGTTTCTTGAGTGTTCTTCGTGACCCCTCTCCTCTCTCAGTAGACCTCGAGAGTTTAGTAATAAACGTCTCAAGAGAACCGTTTAATAGCTCAAACACTGAATCGTTTATCGTAGTGTCATGCAAGATGATGGTCAAATCTGGTACTGATCTGACATGCGGTCCTGTGGGCAAACGTGCCCCCGATGAGAAATCCTCTTCTGGCGTGATTGAATTAATCCAACGTGCGCTCGATTCGGCTGCCCTTGATCTCTTTCTTTGGTTAGGCTCAAAGCTCTTTCTTGATCTCGTTTGGGCCCCCACATGACTGTGGGTTCCGGATCCGACAGTCGTCTGACGTGGATCATTCTTTTGACCGGAACGATTATCTCGGCTACTGCCGCTCAAGCTTTCTTCAAGCTTTCCAATTATAAGGTCAGCCTTGCCATCTAATCTCTTGTACAAGCTAGTCATCGTTTGAGCATAGTTGTTGTCATGGTTTATCAATAATCGCTCGATCTTTCTTGTCATCCTACTGTCTCTTTTTTCTGACTCCATGGTTGCTAGAGCCAAGTTCTCCCCAAGGCACTGATTGTTATTTCGAATCAACTGGGCCTGACCGCTTCTGGCTTGTGATTTTGCGTCTGCCAGCTCGTCTCTTAACATTTCATGGACCTGTTGAGCCCTTTCTTTTACTCGGTCGACACTTTTCGTCATATCCTGTCGCAGTAATTCAAGGCCAGTCATTACGATGGCAAACTTGCCACTCACATCTCTGGCCGTTCCCAACACTGGGTTAACCCTTAGAGATGATGATGTTCTGAGCATTTGCAGGACATCCGAAAACTTGTCGATGGACTCATCATCTCTTTGACCCCTCTTTTCAAACTTGACCATGGCCTGATGCCTCTGTACACCTGAGCCGAAACGATTCAGCAAGCTGTCGAAGGTTTTGCGAGCAGTGTCTCGTTCATTTATTGTTTTCGACATCACAAAGCTCAAGGCCGCGCCCTCTAAGATTTTCTTCAGTGAGCTATATTCCTGTTTCTTGGAGAGAACCTCTTCCTCAAAATGCAACTTCAACACCTCTAACCAGGTATCAATACAGTCATCAGACTCGTGCTTTTACGACTTCGGTTTCTTGAGTGTTCTTCGTGACCCCTCTCCTCTCTCAGTAGACCTCGAGAGTTTAGTAATAAACGTCTCAAGAGAACCGTTTAATAGCTCAAACACTGAATCGTTTATCGTAGTGTCATGCAAGATGATGGTCAAATCTGGTACTGATCTGACATGCGGTCCTGTGGGCAAACGTGCCCCCGATGAGAAATCCTCTTCTGGCGTGATTGAATTAATCCAACGTGCGCTCGATTCGGCTGCCCTTGATCTCTTTCTTTGGTTAGGCTCAAAGCTCTTTCTTGATCTCGTTTGGGCCCCCACATGACTGTGGGTTCCGGATCCGACAGTCGTCTGACGTGGATCATTCTTTTGACCGGAACGATTATCTCGGCTACTGCCGCTCAAGCTTTCTTCAAGCTTTCCAATTATAAGGTCAGCCTTGCCATCTAATCTCTTGTACAAGCTAGTCATCGTTTGAGCATAGTTGTTGTCATGGTTTATCAATAATCGCTCGATCTTTCTTGTCATCCTACTGTCTCTTTTTTCTGACTCCATGGTTGCTAGAGCCAAGTTCTCCCCAAGGCACTGATTGTTATTTCGAATCAACTGGGCCTGACCGCTTCTGGCTTGTGATTTTGCGTCTGCCAGCTCGTCTCTTAACATTTCATGGACCTGTTGAGCCCTTTCTTTTACTCGGTCGACACTTTTCGTCATATCCTGTCGCAGTAATTCAAGGCCAGTCATTACGATGGCAAACTTGCCACTCACATCTCTGGCCGTTCCCAACACTGGGTTAACCCTTAGAGATGATGATGTTCTGAGCATTTGCAGGACATCCGAAAACTTGTCGATGGACTCATCATCTCTTTGACCCCTCTTTTCAAACTTGACCATGGCCTGATGCCTCTGTACACCTGAGCCGAAACGATTCAGCAAGCTGTCGAAGGTTTTGCGAGCAGTGTCTCGTTCATTTATTGTTTTCGACATCACAAAGCTCAAGGCCGCGCCCTCTAAGATTTTCTTCAGTGAGCTATATTCCTGTTTCTTGGAGAGAACCTCTTCCTCAAAATGCAACTTCAACACCTCTAACCAGGTATCAATACAGTCATCAGACTCGTGCTTTTACGACTTCGGTTTCTTGAGTGTTCTTCGTGACCCCTCTCCTCTCTCAGTAGACCTCGAGAGTTTAGTAATAAACGTCTCAAGAGAACCGTTTAATAGCTCAAACACTGAATCGTTTATCGTAGTGTCATGCAAGATGATGGTCAAATCTGGTACTGATCTGACATGCGGTCCTGTGGGCAAACGTGCCCCCGATGAGAAATCCTCTTCTGGCGTGATTGAATTAATCCAACGTGCGCTCGATTCGGCTGCCCTTGATCTCTTTCTTTGGTTAGGCTCAAAGCTCTTTCTTGATCTCGTTTGGGCCCCCACATGACTGTGGGTTCCGGATCCGACAGTCGTCTGACGTGGATCATTCTTTTGACCGGAACGATTATCTCGGCTACTGCCGCTCAAGCTTTCTTCAAGCTTTCCAATTATAAGGTCAGCCTTGCCATCTAATCTCTTGTACAAGCTAGTCATCGTTTGAGCATAGTTGTTGTCATGGTTTATCAATAATCGCTCGATCTTTCTTGTCATCCTACTGTCTCTTTTTTCTGACTCCATGGTTGCTAGAGCCAAGTTCTCCCCAAGGCACTGATTGTTATTTCGAATCAACTGGGCCTGACCGCTTCTGGCTTGTGATTTTGCGTCTGCCAGCTCGTCTCTTAACATTTCATGGACCTGTTGAGCCCTTTCTTTTACTCGGTCGACACTTTTCGTCATATCCTGTCGCAGTAATTCAAGGCCAGTCATTACGATGGCAAACTTGCCACTCACATCTCTGGCCGTTCCCAACACTGGGTTAACCCTTAGAGATGATGACGTCAGTTGAGATTGCAGCCTGGTGCTCAAGGATGCACCACAATTGTGTGTGCATATCGATATCATCAGCCTATCGATTGTCGAGGATGTTACCATCGTTATCCCATCTGAAATCGGTTTTGATGGCGAATTGGACATCGTTTCCTTACTCTTCTCCTGTCTCGGGCTAGGCTTGAAGTCCGTGTCCGAGTGCATCAGTCACACATGGTCTAAGCCAGAAGACAAACCATTAATTCGGAGCAATGTCGTGCGTTCATCGTTCAATGTCTTGAAGCTCTTTCTTGCTCTTGAACTTGGTTGCTCTTACCTCGGACTTACGCTCTGCAACATCGCAAACTTGCCATGCTTGACCAGAGAGGATTGTTCCTCTCTCCGACTATAGCTCTTGGTCTCCGTTTAGACGTCGCTTTGAAAAACAGTTCCTCTACTGCATTGGTCTCGGAACGCTCCGAGGTCCACTGGGGTTTCTCGATCCCTTTGCGTTCAAAGTCGTCGCCGGGCTCTTCCAGGTCCTCATGATGGTGGCGGTTTGGTCGAATTAGCGTTCACTCCTCTTCCTCGAAGAAATTGGTTGGTGTCACGGTCGCCGCCCCGGTCTCAGCGTTTCGCCTTTCATCACCATCTAGAATCTTCTCACTTCCTAGATTCATTCTGCTCACTGAAAAACCACTATGACCTTCACTCGTTTCTCCACAAGAGAAAACGTTGGAGATGCTCCTAATTGAAGATTGGTTACGCCGCGACTTAAGCCTCCTCGTGCCACTTTGCTCAGCCTGGTGATATTAGTCGTTTTTCCTAACTAGTCTCTCCGCTGCATGATTCGTTATAAGCGATATTGTTATATTTGAGAAAAAATGTATACATTGACGACAATGCACAAGTCCCCAAAAATTTTTATTAGAAAAGTTGCCCAAGCTATTAAACCTGCCTGTTTGTTTTCTTCAATATCTAAAGTTTTCTTTTAATCTCTTAGAGATGCTATTAGTGACTCGGCTAAAGTCAAACGCAGAGTCTGCCCAGTATTGAGTTACAACTGACTCCACTCAAATATTTAGTATAATAGTATCGCTAAAGTTCACAAGACATTATAACCAACACACAAAACAAAATTGACAAAAAAAACAACAAAAAACAATAAAATAAGGAGGGTTGTTAAAGGGCTCAACTGACTCCGAAGGGCTGCTTCTGAGGGTTCCCCAGAGATCATGAAAAGAAGTGTTTTCATGGCGATAAAGCCTCCGATCGCGGTATGACTTACTTGAAACAAGGTTGGTTGACCCTGTCAACCTACCCAGTGGGACGAAAACTAAATTTTTTAAAAATTTCTGTCGCTCGCAGGGTGCCCTAAAATTTTGACCCTCCAAACAAGCAAATTCTAAAAACAAAGTTCTTTCCTGAGATTATCAAACTAAAAATGGATGCGGTTCAGAAAATCGATCCAAAACGTCGACTTATGGTACCAGAAATTTTATAATCAGTTTGTTAGTTTTTGAGAAATCAACAAAAAAGCGTTTGCTAAATTGTCCTTTTTTGAGTACTTAAATTGATTCGATTCTCCGCAAATCTTTTTTCGCGATTCGACTTTTTTCGCAATTTTTGCTGAAACTGCTTAAAAATTCTTGAAACGCGCGCAGTAGTCCTGAGCAGCCCTGGAATAACGCAAAAAAAACCGGCCAAAGATGGTTTAGAAACAAAAACTTGGCCAAAAACTATCAAGTTTGGTCCCTCCGATTCCTTCCTTTTCCAATCTTTAAGTAATTAGTTTTATCCACTGAGCTATTCAGAGGTTCACTCAAAACATTTTCTTGCAATTGAGCTCTTTGTAAAAGCAGGGTCTTAACGGAAAAATTTTTATCGCTTTATCGCTTTTTGAAAAGTTCAAAAAATTGATTTTCAAAACTCTTTGAGGAAAATCGGAAAATTACAAAAATTTTGGTCGGAAATACTTTTTTTCGCCAACTACTACTGAGTACGGTTTCTTTAGTTAGGAGGCTTGAACTACGTATTAGTTCACTGCGCAAAAGCTTTTTGTTCTTCGAAAAAACTTGGATGTCCAAAGTTTTTGGGGTTAACGTTAGGTCGAAAATGGGTATTTTCGACAAAGTTAGGGTGTTTTTCGTGTCTGAATGGAAAAAAAATAATTAATAAAAAAAATGATAACCTGATTTTAGTCCTTAATCAAAATAATTGTACCCTCTTCTCGTAATATTGCAATCGATGGAGGGTACAAGACCCTTAAATTGGATAAACGCAATCGATGGAGGGTAAAATCGGACCTCGCCAATTTTGTCCACCACCACATAAAATTCAATGAAATAATACCCGAACGACACTAAAAATGTGTTAACGATGCCCAACAAGCGTTGCAGATGTTCTTCTTGATGACCTCTGTCGAGTTATGAACACGTCTGTCAGCTTGCCACTCTACCCTCTGTTCACTGACAAAATAATCAATAACTTGCTTAAATACTCATACAACACTAAAGGGGGGAGGGTACCTAATCAACCACCAGAACACTAGGTATTTCGATCAAAAATGATATAAATCAATCTCAAACAACAACAAATAGTTATTTTCTCCGGAAATATTATATAAATTGTCATTTTTTGTTTTTTACTGTTTTTGGCCTTTTTTGGGCTCTTTACTGTTTTTTTGTTCTTTTCTGTTTCAAGTAAATTTGCTTCTGGCTTTTCGTGGTTATACTTCATTTTTGATTGGTTTTACGCTTTCTCTTTAATTGTTTTTGGTCCTAGGGCCTTGTAATAAGCGGGCTCATGACTTCCCACATGACCCTCCGACCCCCGGAATTTTCGGTTTCAATTAAATCATAAAGCTAAATCGTACTAGGCAGAGGGTCGGTAACTTCCGCCTTAAACTATACAGATCATTAAGCGCTCTAGCTCGGGAATACGCCTGGAGTGGACGGTTCGTCGCTGAAACGTTTGCTTTTTTGGTCTTGCGTTTAAAACGCTGAAACGTCGATGGTCTTGCCTTTAAAAGGCCCACCCAGGAGCGCCATAAAAGCTGATATTGATCATTCGCCCAAATATTACACATTGACGGAGCGTAAAAAAGCTCTTTTAGACGACTGGCAGTCGTCAGTTACTTCAAGGTTTTTCGTTTTTCACCATCTAGACCTAGCCAGTTAGTGGTCTGGTCTGTTTAGGGCAAACTAAAAAATTACCATTTATAGGCCATCATTCAAACGACTTTTGATCAGCTTTTGTTACATGCAAAGATAACCACAAAGCTGGGTCTCGGATCACCAGACTACGTGATTACCATTGAAAACACGGCTCAGAAACCATTATTTACTATGTATTTAGTGACAATTATATACTAAATCCATTGGGGTAGATTGAATGTTACTGTCTCTCTAGCTACTCATGCTCTGAAATAAAATGTAAGAACGGAGTTAATTCAACTATTAACTATTCAGGGCATCACAGCTGCTAAAATTTAAGTTTGAGTTCGACAGAGCCTCTGATAGTGTCTGGGCACTGGGTCTGCAATTCCGTTTTCCCTCAGAGATAATTTCGTGGTACGGGAGGGTGCTATCCCACTGAAGCCTTCTTTCTTTCTACCTGCTTCTGCTAAGCGTCTTATCGTGTCTGATCGTCAAGATAAGAGGCTTCATTATTTATCTACTTTCCTCACGACTGTCTTTTGTCTGTTTAGTTTTTTTGTGTTTTTCTGGTCAAAATGGACAAGCTTGATGGTAGTGTGAGAATTGTTGAAACCATCATGGTTCATAAGCCCAAATGCTGATTCGTTATTGCCAGAGACGCAAAACTTGCCGAGATAATTAACTGCAGGTTGCAATTTTCGCGACCTCAACGTCTTCTACAAGTTGACAACCACAGACTCTAGGAGAAACCGAGAGAACAGTGTAGTATTGCCTGGCTGGGGCCCACAAAACCTGATCAAACCTAGTAGCTGTCTGGTGAAAGTCTGGTGACTAGAAGATCATATGTGTGGAGGTCTTGTTTGCGTGAAAACACTTGCGGAACAGCATAAGCAACTAACGATACTGTTCGGAAAAATAGCGATGAAAGCGCAAAAAAACGGAAAGAGAACTAATGGCAGATTGTCATGGTGAGGAATTGAAGTGAATCTATTTACTGTCCTAAGATTCTACAGCATTTTTCGATCTATAGAGTTCATAGTGAAACTAGAACAAAAAATGAGATGATCACAGCCATCAGTGTAGAAGTGTTTCCGGGAGTATTACAAACTGAACAGAAGCATATCGGAAAATGGAGAGAAGCAATAGAGGTGGAGACGAATATCAGGCAGAGTGAAACATATCGAAGAACGTCTGTAGCTAGATACCTAGTAGGCTCGATAATAGCTCCGATGTGAGCCGACAAGCAGTTCAATCGTAGCAAGGGATGTAAAAAGCTCAAGGACGATAGTAGACCAAGCTTTCTCAGTGCCAAAAAGGGTAGGAATTGCAAGATTGACCCAGTTTTTTCACAAAACACTCAGTAAATTGTTTGGCGCAGTTCTAGGAAGAACCAATGACGAGTTAGAACCGATACTAGGAAAAAATTTCATGAGAAATTTTAGTGGGAGCTTTAGCGATTTTGAAAGACACTAGCAGAAAATAACAAGGGATTAAATCAACGGATGACAATACAGTAGATAATAGTGATGAAATATACGGAGTGATGATGAAAGTAGAACCACTACTGGAAGCGTCGAGAAAACGAAATTGGAGTAGCCATGCCCTTGTTTGCTACAAACGTGCTAGTGTCCTGGGCGAAATAATCTGGTGTTGATATGGGACTCTGGAAAACTGCCCGCCATGGGTTTACAAGACTCATCAAAGCTCCACACAATAGTGATTTTTGGAGTTATTATGGCGAATAGATGGCTGGAAGCTCATGATAAGGAGAACGGTCCACAGGAAGCACCGACTATAGACCTTTTTAATAAAATGTGCACAATCTTGAACTTTTGATAGAAGTTAAGAATATGTGGGAAAGAAAACGTCTGATGCCATGGTTTAGTGCCAACATGTCTGCTTGGTTGTACAAGTATGCCAAGAAGCATTTGTCGAAGCACATCAGAGTGTATAGTTCGTATCTGTTGGACATAGTGTCAGAAGCATTCAAACGATTGCAGTATCTACCACAGTGAAGAGAACATGAAAACGAATGATTATGAAGGGGGAGAAAGAGAAGAAATATTGAAGGGAGATCTGGAACAAAATGTGAGGTTGTACTTGTTCTGATTTCAAAAAGAAACAGAAACATGAATTATTTTATTGCGTTCACAAAATGTGACGCCGCCGCCACCACAAAAGAAATATGTTTTTATTCCCTTGCAAAAGGAAGGGAAATGATATTGGAATAATTCGTATAACGTTTTAAGCATTGAGAATTGAAACGACTATTCTTATTCAATGCGAATAATAACGATTCCTCTCGTAAAGTACGAGCATACAAAACTTTCTTCTGGTAAAATACGAATGTACCAATAGAGAATACGAAGTTGAGAAGTAACTTCTCATTTGATACAAAAAGTGGTACGATTTCCCATCTGAGTATAATTAGAAGCTCAAAACTACGGGAATTCATTCCCAACAATTTCTCTTCTAACAACACAACCTCCCTCTCTAATATCCCAACAATATCTCTTCTAACACCAACACCACTCTCTTCAACCAGCCCAACTTTTCTCTAAAATAATGTACAATCTCAGAAAAAATATCTCTAATCTCACCGTAAAAATTATATGTTGAGTCAAAAGGCAACTTGCTGTAAATTCATACTAACTTCTTTTCTAATAAAATATTTCTCAGCGAAATTTAGGTTTACTTTCTAAGATAGAAAGTAGAAAGGACCCTTTATTCCTAGCAAGCGTTTTGTCCCGCGCACATAGTCTTGCTAGATCAAAATAACCTCCACAACAATTTCTGCAGAAATAGGGAAACTAAAGATCCTCTAGCTTGTGGCGAAAAAGTATAGAAGAGCAGAAGTGTTAGAGGACTTCCTCCAACAGCGTCAGAATGGCCATCGATATGTTGCAAGACACTGAAACTGAGAGGGCGGTTTCGATATCACAGGAGGAAGAGATGGAGCAGTGACAATAAGCCGAACGACAAGATGCAAAAAAGAGAATTTTAGAAGAATTTAGAAGTTCTAGAACTTCTAAACGACAAAAATTTCAAGAAAGAAATTAACAAAGGAGTAACAAAGAAGAAGCAATTGATACTCAGAATTTATTTATGTGAGAAAAACTCAAAAGAGAAACCAAGCAACTAAGCTGGAAATTGAAACTGGATGAAAGAGAAAGGTTTAGTTGTTTTGAGTCCAAAATTTGTTGCAATTATAAATTTGCCTTGTGATCTTAGTTACTGTTTTTGAAGAAACTTACTATTTATCTATAAAATTTTGAGTGGAAAGTGAATTCAAATTTTTCCCACCTGCATGGTTGTTTTCAAACAAATGGGAAAACTGTTCACTTTGAAAACTGGCGGTTCGAAAGACTTGGGTGATCTCTTGAAGAGGAAGATATTTCATTGTTCGTTCTAACCACCGAGTTTCTTAATTTAAAAAATCAGTACCAATAACAACTAAATTTCCGAGGGGGGGGGGGAGAAAAGAAGAATGATTTTAAATTGCTGGTTGGCAGGACTGTTCTGCGTCCCAACACTTTTTAAACCTTAATAGAACAATTTTTAAAATGAAGATATTGACACAAAAAGTCAGAAAAGATATTTAACGTAGATCATATCCTTTTGGTATAGATTAATGAAAAAGCGAGAAAGCTAGAGCAATGTAGTATGATGTCTTTTGTAGCACGTGGTGAGCCGATGTGATTCGACTAAAAAAAAATTTCATGCATTTTCTGAAGTCTGCTCGAGGACACCTTTTCTTTTTGACGGTTTACTCGAAGGTCAAAGAGGACATTGACCGAGATGTCCGGGGAGTAGGTAACAATCGACCAGAATGGCCTAAGACTCATTTCAGAAAGAAATGAGTTTTTTTTTCATTACAATTCAGAAGGAGGATTTCATGTTTTAATTATCGAATAGAACTACTTCGGAGGGTTTAATGTGGAGTGCCGAGAGCCAAAATTGCAACACTTCTCAGTGTTGAAGAGAGAGCTTATTCGGTGAAGATCACGAATCCCAAATGCTGAAAACTGATTTAAAACAAATTTAGCTTCCTGGTATTTCCTGAATTGAATTAAGTTCATTTTCAGGAAACAATAGTCATATGATAATAAATAGTAGCCCTGTTTTTGGGAGTGACCTCGTGGTCTGGGGATACTAAGACCCGGTCATGGGCTCACTTTTTTTGCATACAACTAATTTTCTTTTGAGCGGTCTGGCCGAAAGCCTTAAAAAGGAATGGCTTTGTCGATTCGATGAAAATGGACCATTCATTGGACTGGCTTTGTTTTGATTGAAAGCATGGGAAGCTCTGTTTAGAAGCTAGACAGTCGTTTTAGAATCAAGCTTTTTTCCGTCGGTATATTTTTCCGGGCGAACGTATATACTTCCGGGCATTTTTTGTATGCTTTTTTAAAATGATTTTAATTTGGGATGATGACAGGCACATTACCGTTATACATTTAGCGGTTATTCAAAAACAACAGATATGATTTGAATATTTAAGACAATAAGATAAGTTGGGTTCAACTGTACAATTTGCTGGCAGAATATATACTTTTTTCGCCTTCATTTCAAATGGGTGTCACTTCTGCTTTTTGGTAAATTTATTGTTGGCTATCCAGTTGGTTTCATTATTGAACAGTATCTAAGACAGTCTGATATGAGGCGGTCTAAATATTTTACTAGACTTCCAAAGCTGTCCTTTAAAGCCAGTTCAAACGCGTTTCGTAAAATATTAGGTACATTCAGCTGCCTTCCGAGAAAATCAAGTTGGTGAAAATTACTAACTAAGTCGGTGATTCGAAAGAAAAGATGTGAGATGTGTTTAAGTTAACATTTCGTGACCATCGGCTTTGTTGGAAAAATATTTTGTTTAACACATTTAACATCTAACCACTTGTGTCTTCTTGCCAATGAGAGTTCTTTATCATTGTATATTTCTTCGCATGAGTCATCGAACACTAGCAGAAAGTTTTCAATTATTCTCAAATGATGAAATCAATCAAACTTTACAAACGCTTTTTGAAATTTGAGACCAATTAATTTTTCCTGAATTGTAAGTTTTATATCTTTGTCAAAAATATCGCTCGGTCAAATCTGGGTTGAAAGATTTTTTCTATCAATAGTATGAAAATCAACTCCAGGTTTTTTTTTCAGATTCCGAAGCTCCTGTGACTGCCATAAACTGCCTCTTGTCGAAGTATCAATAGTTTTATTCGTATCTTTAGATTAAGTAGCACAAACTCAACCAAACAAGACAATTTGAAAACCAAACTGACGTTTATTTACAGCTTAGTTGTCTCCAAGAAAGTACATGGACACACCAAACAAACTTATTAAAATTATATTCATTTGAGACATACAAACCAACTCTAATCTAGACAGTACATTAAATTGAAAGATTTTTGTTCGGTGCTACCTTTTGTTTGGTACAAAATACAAAACCTGCAACTATATTCGCATCAGATTCATCAACTGCTTTTTCAGGATTTTTCAGATTTTTGATTTGGTTTCACTCTCTCTCTCTCTCTCTCTCTCTCTCTCTTTCTCTTTCTAGCTCCGACTTTTTATCTACAGCAGCTGTTTCTTGAGAAGATAGAAAAATAAAATGTTGATGTCATAAAAATGAAATGTTTTTCCCGCTGATGAACAAAAAAAAATCTCGCATCGAGTATAACCATTAACTTTTTTTCATTAACAACGTCACCCATTTCAACTACATAACTGGCTGTGGTATTTTCATTTTTTGCATCGAATACAAATTCTGAACTTCTTCACATAGGTCATCGCTGTTTTCCGTGATGACATCTGGGCACTAATACTAGCCTGGGAAGATTAACTTCACGTTGGCTGGCCAATATTTTAAATCTACGTCTTCTATGTCACTCTCGGAGTCATACAAGCACTAAACCTTAAATTTGGAAACATGAGCGTCTCCAATTTTGCTTGTCTCTCGTTACTACTCTTTTTTCAGCTAATCCTAAAAGACCTTGCGTTGTTTCAGGGCGCAGTAGTTCCTAGAATTGTAATGATGTGAATGTTTTTTGCAAAATGAAAGTTTTTGTGAAAAATAAATTTTCAATTCTCGGCCAGCCCAATTCATCAAAACTCTCAAATTTTTAATATAGGTTTTTGCAAAAAGTTCAGTCTTCTCTTTCCCTTTGGCGTTAATAATTCGCAAAATAGAAAATAGAGTAATCTGACTGTAGTTAATTCCGGGCAAATATTTTGTCAACCAGTGAAAGGCTTTTTGTTCAGGTTTTAGAAATTACTTGAAAAAAACTTAAAAACTTAGTTAAAAGCTTTATAGAGTCGCAATAGTCAGAAATTGTAATGAGTAAATCTTTAACTACAAAATAATTTTTAAATTAAAAGCCTTCCAAAATTTAGCACGGATGATCGTTCACTCAACGCTTTAAAAATGATGGAGTTCTTTTCTCATTATGTTGACAAATAAACAGGATGTTAAACCACTCAAATGGCAAGTCAGGCTGTTTTTACACTTCCAAGGCATGATTTAACACTAGGTGAGAACAATTTTATAAACTTCGTGAACCACTCCTGCGGCGTCATCTAAAATTGCATGCAGTCGTAATTTTCTTAAAATGAAGAATCGTCTATGCCAATAAGACATCTAGATGGATAAGTTCGAGTTCATAATTTGAATTATTCGTCTTTGAAAAAAAAACTAAACACTTGCAGCTAGAAAAGAGATTCGACAATCAGTATTTTCCGGATAGGTCTTTGTTAGGAGTCAAATTTATTTTATCTAGTTTTTGTAAAGATGCCAGTCGAAGTAAAGTTAACCATGTAGATACCACTTGCTGATGTTTCCATCTCGACGATATATATTCAATAAAAAACCAGAAGATTTTGATGTTCTGAAAACTTGGTGAAACAAAGTCTGATTTTTTGCCCCACTCATTTTCCAATCAATGTATTGCCGAAGTAGAACGACAAAGAAATATATTATCATGAATAGCAATAGTCAAATCAGTCGCTTTATGACATTTCTGTTTTGCATAAAAACATCACGTTAATTGTAAAAGCTCATTCAAAGAAAAAAATCGACGCAAAATTGACCATGTTCTTTGATTGCAATTTCTTCCCAACTCCTAATTGAAATTTAAATGTCAATTCTGATTATGTTTGTTTTTTGATCAGACACCAGTAGAAAAAACGTTGAACGATAAATTCTCACTTTTAATATCGTCAATGTGCCAAGTTCTCATGAAACTCAATTTGCCCAATTCGTTCTTCTAATTTTTGTTTTTGATTTTGAGTTGGTCGGTTTTTTCGACAACCCATGAGTATCGGCAACCCCTGAAACTAAATCTAACTTTTTTTTAAAAAAAGTTCAGATTTTTTTTATAAATGTAATTTAACGTTTTGTTTCAGTCTGAATTTTCCTGTTGAGCATTTAGAATCTGTGGAGTTGGTAGGAAGGATTTCGTGTGGTGTGAGGACACATTTGATTATGGCCCGGTCTAAGCTGGACATCAAACTCCTTCTGAAGCATCGGTTGTGAAGGATGTAACGCTTGCGGGTTTGCTTGGCGGGACTGGTGAAAATTTGAAAATACAGAGCGAGTTGTGATGACTCGATGACGAAGTGAGGCGTGTACTTTCTTTCGATGGCGGGATTAGTGAACGCTGTGTCCAGCTGCTGGAGCTCTTTGAGCGCATGATTGCAGGTGTGATCAGATACATGCGCTCCAATTCTTCCTTTCCAACAACTTTGCACATATTATTTTTTCACCTTCTCTTCTTTCCGTGTCTTTATTACATTTCGATTACATCATTCCTTTTAGATTTGAGTTTTTTTTATTTAAAATTTTTTTAATTTGTGTTCATTTACGATGTTGCTAAGCTTTTTCATTTCTTACAAAAAATTTTTCTGTGGAACAATAAGCATCAAAAAAGTAGCTCCGTTGCACTGGTTCTTATTACATATTATTTTCTTGGAAAATAAGACCAGAGCTCAGTTTTAACTGCTTAAAAATCATAAAGTACAGACTAGGAAATAGTCACACATTAAGCGCGGCGGAAATTATACTTCAAATTATACAGCGAAACGAAACTTCAATACCTCCAAAATTCTGAGAGCAGTCGCAAGATACCACTCCTTAAAACCCTACAAAACATGAGTGGCCGAAAACGACGTAAGAATTTTTTTCACTTGAGGGGTTAAAATTGTGTAATGTTAGGCCACATCGACTTCGGTGGTGGAGGATGGTTAAAAATATGTAATTTTCTAGCCACTTTTACATACTCCTCGCTACAAAGGAAGCCGCGTTAACTCTGCGCCAAATGATAAAAATTGTCGATGTTGCATAAGTTCCATTTTGGATAAAGCAACCTTGGAACTCCAGATTTGTGTACGAAAAGTTTTTGACGGGGAAAAATGTCTAGCTTCCGATGATAAGACACTTCCTCTTGCAAGTGTAATCAACCAATTTTTAATTACTATTGGTACACACAAAATAGAAGACCGGTCTAGACATTTGTCGAAATCACCTGATTTTTTTGAAATCTTTGGGTGCTTGTAGTAAAGCATCTCGAAACGTCTCAAGACATGTTTTCCCATCGTCCGCATTTTTGTTTGGTTGCTTAGAGCTAAAATAAAAAACATCAAGTAATTAAAACGAAGGTGGAACACGTAGCCTGAATCTCAGACTTTGGAACACAAACTTTAGTCTTATCCAGTTGCACTTGTCTCGCTCAAAAAAGCGTTTTTTTACATCCTTTCAACAATCCTTTTTTAAATCTTTGCCTTTCTTTTTGCATCTTTTCTTAATTCGTACTGAAAACATTAAAAATCCCAGAAAACTTTTTCTCATTTTTTGACAAGATCACGGAAATCAGAAATGAATCCATTGAATCTACAAGCACCAATTTTTTTATCACTGACGAGAAATACCTTGATATTTGGTCTAATTTTCAACCCCAATTTTTTTTATGAATTGCTTAAAGAGAGCAAAAGATATCTTAAAGTCTATTTTTCTTTTGATGTCTGACCTAAACTTTGTCGAATTGAAGTTTTTAATAACCGGCATGCCAAAAAATTTCATTAGCCGCAATATCCGTGATTTTATAGTGCAAATTAGCACTCTTAATAATTTGTGCTAATATGCATTATTTGCTGCTTTTTGACCATTTCATATTTTTTGGTTTTTTATGAATTTATAAATGCCCTATAACTGACTAATTTACAACTGCCCTATCCCGTTTGATTTATGTCGTGTTTCTTTTGGAAACGGAAATTTTGATAACCTCATTCATCGTTGTTTACGAGCCAGTCGTTTCAGCGAAGAAAGATTTTTCAACGCTTAAATTCATCATAACTATTACTTTGTTGCGCATTATAAGCTCATTGTCAACTGTGTTTTAAATTTTTATCAGAGGAACAAAATAATTACCACCACAAAGTTGAGTAAAGCGATAAAAAATCTGAAGACTCCATTTAAATCTTTCGGAAAAACGTCCGGCAGAATTTCATTTGAGTAGCTTTGCGACAGACTGCGTGCTCGTTCTGTAAAGTTTTACCTTTGCATCGGATATGGTTAGCTTTGCGTGGTTACCAGCTTAATTAGTGTGATCTTACCTCAAAACAACGCTTGCGATAGTCGCGTTAGAAATGCGCTTATCAAGACTACAATTTTTAATTTTTCTGAAAAGTTTGAATAGTTTTATTGCATCAAAATGTACTTCTCCTGCGAGTTTGTAAATATTCAAGAGCTTGACTCAGATTGTCGATATTTTGTTCAATTTCACATTTTCCATTGTAATCCTTGCTTTTTCTTAACCCCCTGTTTTATGAGCAAAAGCATGAAAAAAAAATTGAAGCTAGAACAAATCATTAGTTTAATTACCAAGCTTATGAAGTTTTTATTCAGAACAATTTCCGGCTCTTCGAATGTACTTCTTAATTTTTGGTATCGTTTTTGGCATCGTTCCAAGACACTAAGTGCAATAAAAAATGGGCATTTTTCAAATAATCTTGAATTTTTTAGAATAATCTTGAATAAGCTATGAATTTTTTATCGACCAAGATCTTACCGCGCTTTAAATCTTTGGTCATAGTTTTCTAAGGGAACTCTAAGGGAAAATTTTTGTGTTCGCAAAAAGCTGATAGAATTCATAAGTCAACCCAAAATATCTGTAAACTTTAACTTAAGGAAAAAACTAACCTGCTACTTTGCGGATTTTCTTGAGGGTGGCGTACGGAACTGCTGTCATGACAAACTTGCTCATCGCCCTCGATTTTGTTTGGTGTTACCGAACTAAATTGCAGAATATAACATGTTAATGGCAAGGTCGTCTTCTCAGAACAAGCAGCTTAAAAATCAGACTTATGAACAGTAATTTAAGTCAATGCTAATTGCAAATTATCTCACTCAGAGTTTTTTTAACAACCATAATGAGACTTCATAATGAGAACTTCAAACTTAATGAAATTTCAGTTTATAATTATCTGCATGGGTATTGAAAACATTGAAAGCCGAGAAACATTTTTCTCTTGATTTACCAAAAGTTATGGAATTCACAATTGAATCCAATATATCAATAAAATTACTTGAATTGTAATCTAACTTCAATGACCAAACTTTTTAATGAAACATTTGAGTAAAAAATGATATCCTAATCTCTGTTTTTCCTAGTGTTTGTTCAAAAAATGATCTTCATGTTTTTTCATATTGGTTTTTTGCAGTTCAATTCATCGATTACAACAAACTGTGTTTGATTAGAACCTTCAATCTCGTACTAATTTTTGTACAATTAATTAGTTTACTTGCCAAGCTTCGAAAGTATTTAATCAGGGCTATTTTTTTATTATACTCATGTTCTCCTACATATTTATTTATTCGCACTCAAATTATTTTTGCTCAAAAAGAACAAAAAGATGCAACGTTTTGAAAACATTTTGCAAAAATCATGCTGTTTTTTTTCTGAAACTAACTTATACGTCTAGGATGAAATTTAAAAAAGCAACCTAATGCGCAAAACCATTCATTTTTTCAATATATGAATTCAACAAAAAATATCAATTTTCTGCCTGGTTAAAATGATTTCTCACATTCTTAAATGAGATGAATGTTTTGCGTGCTGGTTACCGCACTTTTTTCATGATTGTAGAAATTATTAAAAACCTACGGAAAATTAACGGAGTCAAGGTCGGAGTGGTTAGACGTAAACCCAATAAACCTGAAACTTTTAATTCAGGGAAAAACTTGAGCAGCTCATGTGTAATTTTTTTAGAGGCTGGCTGAAGAAATGTTGTCAGGGCTTATGGAATTGTTATCATTACAAGTTTGGCTATCGACTTTCAAGAATATTTGCTTCTTCAGCGCTAAATTGCATAAGATATAGATGCTGAGATATGATCAAAGTAGCGGAGAAATTGTCCAGTCAGATCTTAGACATCATATTTATTTCTCAATCGCAATTTTAATCGCTCAACAAAGAACGTTTACATTCTTCCAACCATAATGAAATTTCTAGTTATTTTTAGCTTGCATTTGAAAACATTAAAAACCGACAGAAATTTTTCTCAAGGATTGCGTAAAGTTCATGTAATTATTCAATACTAAAATCTACGCTCAAAACTCGATTTTTGTAAGACAAAAAACCCTCAAATTTTAACCAAAATCTGGCCTTAAAAAGAGGTTTGAGAATGTTTTCCGATCTGGCAATTTAGCTGAAAGGTATCAACAGGCAAGCAAAAATCCGACCATTCAGTTTTCCCTGAAAAGTTCTTTCAATTTTATACATACTGAAAAATGTCAAAAGGTCAAGAATCGTTTTTTTTATTGTTCTGTTGTCCTCCCAGAACAATTCGAAAACCAAACAATACGCCAAGATTATGCTGTTTGGTAGCAAGAAAATGTGCGAAGAAAATATTTGAATGGCTGTTTTGTTTCATTTTATTTCAAGCGTGTAAGAAACATTAAGAAACTTAAGAAAAAAGTTGTTAGCGGCAAGAACAAAGATTTCAAAATTAAATCAAAAATGTCGGCCAGCTTTAACTAAAGAAAAATCTTTACCTGTCAGTACAAATATCAGAAGAACACAATGCTAGATGGCGCTTTGACCTAGTGGCGAACTCTTTGCAGACTTCGCTTATCTTTTTGGCACTTTTCTTCATTTCTTCCAAGTGCAGAAACATGGCATATTCTTCCTCGCAATGGATATGAGCGTCTAAGTTTTTTTTCAAGGTATGCAAACTTTCCAGGTAAAGACTTCTGATAAAATTTTCGAATGCAGGAGTTAATTCATTGTCAACGAACATTTTCTTTTTCTTTGAGGAAATATACCTAATTTTTTTTGTTTGGTTTGATGGCAGTGTGCTATCTATCAAATGATTCAAGGCTCTAACTGGTGACATGAGTTGTTGGGAAGCTTTATCATTGGTGTAATCTTTCGGGACAGTGTCTCCAACAAATGTGTTTTTGGCGCTTGGATTCATCTCATCAACTACTTTGTCAAGTTCTGGTTTTAAGTCTTCCCACAATCTCAGTACTTCTTCAAAATTCCCCTGATTAGTTGTAAGAGAGTCGTGCAAAATAGCAGCTTCATACTGATAATAGGTCAAGGCCACAGATTTGTTCATAGCCGTGGAAATTTTTTCAAAAACTTCCTTAGCTTTTGGCAAAATTTTATTTGAGTAGGTTTTCAATTGATCCGGCGTTCGCTCCAAAGCTAGTTGATAAAACTTGGATTCATGATCTTCGGCAGACACAGTGAACTCATTCATTAGCTTTTCCGTTTTTTCACTAAAAAGGAAAGATTTTGAATAAATTGTAAATTGACCATTGTCCAATTTAGCTCTTGAAGCTGTTACATCAATACGGTGCAACTAAACTAAAAGCAATTCTTTTTATGAATCATGTTCAACTCACCTGAAAACGTGAAGTGTTTCAGAAGCATGGCTTAGATTGTCGGCGAACTGTTCAATTTCGTTTCTATTTTCGAATTTACTCTTGTCGGGTACGCCACTGCTTTAATAGACACAAACAAAATATTGGTAAGTTTTTAAAAGAACTCAAGCAAATACTTTTAAACGCTGGAAAAGGCCATTTAAACAACATCAAGTTTATGGAAATCAAATGAGAAGATGATTCGTCAGTTTTTGAGCTTGATTCTCAACCGTTATTGCGAATTGATTACAATCAGTTATAGTCCACTTTTAACAAAACTTCTGCCAATACAATTTCGAGTGTGTGCGACACAAAGATATCCGCACTGAAAAAAATGGATTATGATCGATTTTAGTATGAACAAGTACGTTGGTTAAATTTAGATCAATTTGAGTATCAAAAAAGTACGTTGATTAAATTTAGATCAGTTTTAGTATAAAGAAATTACGAAGACTAAATAAAAAAGAAGAAGATTGATTTGGATCCTAAATCCCAGATAAAAAAATTGATCCAAATCGATTTTATATCAATTTAAATGCGTTTTCCCAGTCTGAATTTGTTTTCATTTTTAAGGGGATTAAAACGGATTTAAATCGATTTAAATCAATTTTTTTCATTCGAGTTTTATCAGTTTCAAATTTTTATTGCATTTACTTCTTGCCTATCAGTTTCATTTATCATCCATAGCGTATTGTAGCATGAAAAAACCAAATAAAAAGACCAAAAAATCGATAAAGTTCTATGGTTTTCTTGCATATTTTGAGTTCAAAAACTGATCTATATTTACCCTTTTCATGATTCGTTTCATAAGTTGTTGCTTAAAATCTGATTTACTTCCATGTTTTTCTATTATTTTGTTACATATTATTGAGATCACAATTTAATTTACCTGACCCTATTCTCGTTTGTATCACAAAAGTTTGCCCATAATCTGATTTACAATGGTTTTCTATGATTTTATTGCAAAGTTTTGAGTTTAAAACCTGATTTATGTGGATGTGGTTTTAATGAATTCTATAGCATCTGGCAAAAGTGCTTTAGTTTAAAAAATCGAGAATAAAAAATTCCAGGAGTTTTTTAAAGGGTATGTTTTTTTCGCCGTGTTAGCAAAAAAATTGATTTTAGTGTTTCGGAAAATCCATCGAAATCGATTTAAGTCGATTTTTTAGACACTTGAATCAATTTGAAATTTTCAAAAAGATCGATTTCAATCCATTTAAAATGGATTTAAGTGAGATTATGATGGATTTAAGTGAGATTCGGATGGATTTTAGTGAGTCGGAAAACCCATCGAAATCGATTTGAATCGGTTTTTTAGACGCTTAAATCGATTTAAATTTTCATAAAGATCGATTTAAATTGATTTAAAATCCATTTAGATTCGTAAAATGTACATGGTTAATCGATTTGGATCGATTTAAAATCAATTTAAACTCAATTTAAATCGACCGAAAGCCGTTTCTGTCAGTGCGGGTACTGTAATAATAATGTTTTTAAACAGCTAAGTGAAACAAAACTTATTTGAAAATTGCACAATATATTTTTCTCAATTTATCAATGTCGTTAAATTATGAATTACATGTACCAATTAAATAATAGCAAAAGCCGCAGGATATGAATGCCACCAAATATCGAAGATAATCAATTAAAATCGTTTTAATAGTTATCTTGATAAAGCTTTAAGAAATTATCTGTTTCACATTTGTACGTCGTTTACTTGTTATAATTGAATTTGATCAGCCAAATTGAAGACCAGTTGAGGTGATATACATTGGAATATTTATTGTTCATCCAAAAATATGATTTTTGTTAAATCAACGCAACGTTTTCAAACAAAAATTCGGCAAAAATTATTTTTCAGTGAAAAACTTTGAAGGAAATGACAAACAGTTTTTTCAAACAGCACGCATATGACTAGGATAGTCTAATGCAAATCAATCAAATGCGTATAAGAAACTCTAACCTGGCTCCTCCGGAGCTGCTCGTTGCTTGAGACTGAGGAAGCTGCTTATTCTTTTTGTGGAAGTCTCTGAGGAAGCGGCCCAAATTACCGACTTTTCTTTTTACTTCCGCGAACTGATCAGTTTCGAAGTTTCTTGCTTTCTTAGGGTCTTTCAATTCTTCGAATAGGGCGGTGAGCTTGTTTACAAATTTCAAGCACTTATTCAGGTTTTCAATGAAATTTCCATAAACTTCGTTTTTTTCAAGAATTAAACACTTTTCTTCCTCATCAGTTAAGCCAGTTAATTGGTTTTTCTTTGATTTATTGATAGAATTTCGTTCTTGAGTTGATTCTCGACTACTATTTAAGTAGGGTCGCCCAAAATGAGGTTTCGCAAGCATGATATGGGCAGACTTGGCTGTTTCTTTTGACCCTGTTTCTTCCGTTTGGGTAGCCTTTCTATTTCTGTCTTTTTGAAAAAAATTTTCTGCTTCATCATTCATCTCCTTTATAGCGGCATTATGTGTATCCACGCTAATTTTTTGGCACTCTTCAACAATTAATTTGATTTTTCTTTCCATATCTTTCGATTTTACTGATTGGGAAACGTGCAAATTCGAAAACGATATCAGAGCCTCGGAAATTTTTCCAAACATTGGAACAATTTCACTTAAACAATCTTTTGAGTAGATCGTAAACTGACATTGCAGGAACTCTTTGAAAAGTTGTGCTCCGGCGATCTCGTCTTTCTGGAGTGAACTAAACGAAAATTAGAAAATTTGCTTAATAATGATTTGAATTGTAACCATTCATTTTATCTAACATAGGTCTGACTTAGCTTCTTCGAATCTAATGTAAGAAATACAGTTTGATTTTCAGTCCTAAACTTTTTTTAAATTTTTTGTGTTTTCGATATCAAATCGTTAAATCGTCATTATTTGACAATTTTTGAAAAGTTTTTTGTATTCGAAAGTGAAAAAACTTGACAAAAAGGACATTTTTAGGTATTTTTTAGGGTCCAGCTCACCCCACAAAATAATGTATGTCGACCCCAAAATACTTTCAAAACAAATTTAGAGTCGGTCAGCCGAAAAAAGGTATCCGAAAACAGAACCAAAGTGAGTACCTTTCATTGGTCAGGGGTTGGAAACCTGAGAGGAAGCTTCCGCTACCTCCTCGTCTAAATCTGCAACGGCTTTCTGAATTTTTACCACTATATGAAAAAAAAGTTTTTCTCACAGTAAGAAATTGCGGTTTTGCGCAAAAAAAGTATTGGATGGAAAAAAACTTAAGCTAAGTTCTGAGTTCTTTATGTTGTTCTTTTTTAATGACCCAAGTACAAGGTTTATTTAACAAATCTAGTGTAATTATGTCATTCTTTGATCGGAAAGGACATGATTTTTGTATGCACTGTAACGAATGCACTGTAATGAAAGCACTGTACAAAAAAGATCTTCTGTGCGCAAGATTGTTTGTTCAATTATGCTGATTCAATTATTAAATTCAAATCTGTAAATTCAGATGCATAACTCAAACTAGATAACAATTTTTTTTTTCAAGAATTCTCAACCCGCGAGGCAAATGGGACGTACAGATTTAAAACTGGATTTTACGGCTTAACCGACATGCCAACTGAGTTCCAGAAGGCAATGGATTAAACCTTACAGGGCATAGATGGTGTCATTTGTTATCTTGACGATGTTTTGGTAGTCACGAAAGGAGATGTTCAGGATCATAACACGCTTTAGAGGTGGTAATGAAGAGACTTGACGCGGAAGGCTGGGCTCTAAATTTGAGTCAGTGTGAACTCTCGGATAACCAGTTAACTTGGTTGGGTTATGAATTCAATGAGGAAGGTTACTCTACCAAATTTTCGAATTGGAAGCGATATAATCAATCAAGCCTCCTATAACTTTAAAACAGCCAGGAACGTCTATAGGAACTTTGAATCTTCTACAACAGTTTATCCCAGGTTTACACACTCTACAGTGCACTTTCGGCAATCGTTAAAGTCTTGTAAAAAGCAGTCGTTTCTTTGGGGAGAGAAGCAAGAAAGTGCCTTTAAGAACATCACTTATCTGGCGTCAAAAAATCCCAGCCTCTTTCATTATGATTTTTCTAAGAAACCGAGATTGAAATGTGACGCTAGTCATAACGGATTAGGGGCTTGCCTTGAGCAGGAGATCGAACCTGGGCACTAATCGGTTTTGCTTCGCGTTTTCTATATAATGCGGAGGGGAAGTATAGTACAACCGAGTTAGAAATGTTGGCAATCGATTGGGTTTGTGAACATTTTTGAACATACTTACTAGAAAATTGCTTTCAAGTACTGACCGATCGTAAAGCCATAATCTCTGCCTTAAATGAAAATTATAATAACAAATCAAATCAATCTTTTCTGTCTACGTGGGCTGATAGGTTATTACCCTTCGATTTTGAAGTTGTTCATGTTCCAGGGGTTACTTTAGGTACTGTTGATGACCTGTCTCGTTACCCTACGTTTTCTGCCCCCAACCTTCACAATATGATGAACTATTCGTCATTAAAAATTTTTAGGCTTTCAAAAAGGCCGTAAATTTAATTAGTTGCACTGGCTTCCTTCAAAAGAGGTCTGAGCGCGGTTCTCTTTCAAAATAGGGCGTGGAATTTACAACGAGGTATCGTTACATCTCCTCAATACAGCGTCATTCTCCGTTAGATGGCGTTGACAAAAGTACTCAGCAGTTTAACCAATCATATCGCATTATGCAAATTCGCCGATCTAATTCCTCATCGATAGAGGGCGTCGAGTTATGCTCGGACCGTGTCGACCAATCAAACACCATTATGCTAATTTAAAAAATATTCCGGAAATCCTCACTCAAAATCAGGGTCTCCGACCCGAATCAATGCGAAACTTTCACTATCAATCTTCTATGCTCTCTAGTCAAAAATCCAAACTTTCAAGTCTCTACCCTCGCATAATGATTCAACTACCAGATACAGAAAAAGATCCCAACAAAACTCTTACTAACGTCTCTTTTAACTCTATTACCATACTAAACTCAACGGCCGAACATACTGACTTACTCACTTTTGTGGAAGATTTTTCACTCAATTCGCTTAATTTCTCATGGCCAAGCCCTCGTCATCCGCTACAATCCCGCCAGATGGGAAGAGTGTCCAGAATTGACCAGTTCCGCCAACACGACAGGACACGAGAACGGGCCGCCAGAACCCGATTTGTCGCTGCACAAATTAACTGTCGGGAAGAAGGGCATGCCCAGTTTCTAGAAGCTACCTAAACCGGGGAAACTACACAGAGCTAACAAGATCGGAGTCTTCGTAGTTAATGGAGGGAAGCCGATTCTGTCCAAATCCAGGACGGACAAAGTGGAATTACCTGGCCTCTTCGACGCAGATCTTCTGGCCTAACTCAACGGGGAGGATCGATTTCTGGTTCGCATGAAACGTGCGATCATTAACAAAGACCTGACTTTATTTAACAAGTTAGGGTCAACATGGCCAATTTCTGGACCAAAGCTGCTGAAGTCAACGATTGCATGATTGTGGACAACAAACTAACAATCGCGGAGCCTTTGAACAAGGCTGTCCTCGCCAGGTTACATCGTTCCCACACGGGTCCAGAGGTCTAACAGTCGTCTACTTAAGTCGCATGTGAGGCTTAGAGAAATAGGCCCTATCACCATTGGCTCAAGAGTCAGGGACACTATCTCTTGTGTTTTTCCACCTCATGCGGTCGGGGCCATTTCGGCTTACTTGCAACATGAGACTACAAACCGTGTAACAGCTTAAGGGCTACTTCAAAAACACCTCCACTCCAGAAATAAGAACGCCCCCATGGTCAGGTCTTGAAATACCTAAACACGCGAACGCCATGAAAAACAGGGTCGGAAAATTAAGTATACATTTAGTTTTTATTGGACAGTGGACCTTTGATTCTTTTCAGATGGATCAACCTAAAAAATCTCCTTAACTCAACATAATCACATTGAGCTCACTCATAAAATTGAAATTGGGTACTCGCATACCGAAACTACTACTAGATTTGTATAACTAATAATCGTAATGCATGTCTAGAACTGATTGAATTTAATTCAGTCTTACTCAAGAAGTTTTCAACAGACAACTTTGAACTCAAGAACATGTTTTTCTATCTGGACAAATGAGCATCTTCCGATGTCCACCTTTTCACTCATGGTTAACTCTGGTCCAGTCGATTGTTCTTATCTATCTCTCTTCCTGCGCTCTTGATTTCATATTGGGAACAAGATAGTTCTGCTCGCGTCGTGTAACTCTGGTAAATTTACGAATAGCATTTTTTTTCTAGTTTTTTCAGCAACTTTCACGCGATTATAATTCGAATCTTCTGATTGCCTTTTCTCGTATATTCGCGAGAAACTTGACCATGATATGTTCATTTCGAAATTTTGAAAAGAGAATTTGCCTCAAAATCAAAACTGAACGTTCAGCTCAAGGTCAAACTTCCTAAAATGACCGACTGGCATAAAGCAAGGATGCCGGCCTCTGGGTACATTTGGTGGACGTTCCTTAACCGACAGACTTTCGATACATGTGAGAATGGCCGCGAGTGCACGTTGTGTGGGAAGAATCTTGAACCTACTAAAACGATTAATACGGCACAATCTCTACCTAATCTGTCTGGTCCCAACCAAGAACTTGAGCCAGACTTTGCAGGCCCTGTTTTAGATGATACAGGCAATAAGACCTTCTTCTTAGTAGCTATTGACCGCTTCTGGAAGTTTCCTTCTGTTCTTACTGCCAAAACTAAGGGTGCGAAAAAAGTCGTGAAATTACTTGGTTCTCATATATGTATTCATGACATATCTCAATCTATCAGGACTGATCACGGATCTGGGTTTAAAAATGACATAGTTAAACAGTTTTGTTCCAGTAGAGGCATTGATCAGATTCTATCCCGGGTTCGAGACCACCGAGACAGTGGCCTGGTTGAGCGTTCAACACAAACGATTACGCCGAAATTGGGTATTGCCAAATTTGATACTAACTTTGATAACTTAAAATCAACGATTCAACAAATAGTTGAAGATACACGCAAAGGTAAGCACGCAGTGCATAAAAAATTGCCTTTCGAGCTACATTTTGGTGAAAAACCGAATCTTAATTGGTCTCAAGCTGGTCGTAGTTTTGTTAAAAAAGCTATTTCAGCCCAAGGACTTGAGCGTAACGTCCTCACACCGGATCAGATTGCCAGTCAAGACTTCAGCAAGGATAGCGCCCAGGTGGTCCCGAGAGGCAGTGCTAGCCCTAGGTTTACTCCTCGCTTTTGACTGATGTTCTCTCTAGACAGCAATGTCGCGGACTGTGAGCCATATAAGGCTTTGGCGGATCTTGCGCCGGCAGCGAATACGTGGTCTCAGTGTAAAAGAAACCTTCCACCGGAGAGCGCCAAACTTGTCCTCAAAGAGCTGTCCAGTCGGCTTTCATATCTTGCACACTCACTGAAAACTGGTCTTACACGATACACTCTACGTTTCTATGATCACGTGTCCAGTCCTACAACCCCGGTGATCTCTAATAATCAACGGAAATTTTGGCACAGCAAGCTCGTCGGCTGACCAAAACAAGTAATTTGAAAAACCTTTTTTTGAATGAACCTAATCGAGTTAAAATCTTTAGAAAAAACATAGATCGACAATCAGGAAAACCTCTACATAAAACTGCGAAGTTCGATATCACTTTAGTTACGGATCACGCTTATGTCTCTGATAAAAGGA